CACACACACACACACACACACACACACACACACACGTGAGTAACGAAACGTTCCCCGTTCTTTGTGTTGTTTCGTTTCCGTTCTCTCTCTATCTCTCGTGTCGCCGTCACGTGGACGTGGGAAAAAAAAATCAGAGCTGGGAGACGACCGGAGGAAGCAAAGAGCGCGCAGCAGACCCTCGCACGCAGCAGCAGCGGCAGGAGGAGGAGGAGGAGGAGGAGGAGGAGGAGGAGGAGTAAGGAATCCCCGCAACCAGGCGACGACGACGACGACGACTACGATCGGCGACGACGACGATCATCAAGATGGCGCTGGCGGCGGCGGCGGAGGCCAGCAAAACGGTTGGCGGCGAGCGAGCTCCCCCGCCGCCCCCCGCCTCCTCCCCCCTCCCCACCCACCGGGCGGGATACCGCCGGACGCGGGCTACGAGGAGGTGAGCTTCCCCTCCCCCGCGCCAAGGATCGATCGTTCACCACCCGTCCCCCCTCCCCCGCCACCTGCCCACCTCCTCCCCGCGGAGGTGGTCGAGCGAAGGTCGAGCAAGGTCGATCGATCGACCACGAAACTCGACGAGGACGAGGACGAGAACGTCGGGGACGTGGAGGACGACAAGAAGAAGAAGAAGAAGAGGACGACGACGACGACGACGACGACGACGAAACCTGTGTCCGGTATATTGAAGGCGTGCACGAAGGGCGTTTACGGGGGGGAGGGGGGGCAAGGGGGGAGGGGGTGCTCGTACGGCAGCTCGGACACGTGGCCCGGTCAGAAGACGGTGCAGTGGGTGGGGGGAGGTGGAGGTGGCAGGGGGGAGGGGGTTGGGATTCGAACGAGGCGGACATGGAGAGCGAGGTGGTCAAGGAGTTTTCCTACCAGTACATCAAGCCCAGGGGGGGGGAGGAGGAGGAGGAGGATAGGTCGAGGGGGGTGGAGGAGGAGGAGAAGGAAGAACGTCGAACCTGGTGCGGTGCAGGATACGCTCGTTCGAGGAGGCGCGTGCCAGGCGGATGGGCTCGGTATGCGGGAACCGTTGAAGGTGTCGTCCCCCCTCCAACCGACCGAGGCGCACGTGTCCAAGTTGGAGTGCGCGAAGAGGAGGAGGAGGAGGAGCCCCCCCTCCGCCACCACCTCCTCCTCCTCGATGATACGAAACTTCGCGCTCGGGGAGACGAGCGGCGGGGGCGGTCGGCGACGGTCGTTGAAGAGGAGGGGGAGGGGGACGTGGGGCACGCGAAGCAAGCGTCGACCGACAGCAACAAATCCGTGAAGGACTTGTTGGCCGATTTCGAGAGGAAGTCTCGGCAGGAGCACGGTGGAGGTGGGAAACGGGTGGAGGTGAAGCATCGCGGGGTGTTCAGCGACTCGGAGGCGCTGTTGTACGACAGTAGCGACTTGGACAAGCACGAGGAGGAGGGCAAGGATAGGATCCATTCCGGTCATTACTATCATCATCCACGTCATCATCATCATCATCATCATCATCATCATCATCATCGTCGTCGAGAGAACGACGATCACGGGACGGACGCGAGCAAGAAGAGAGGCGACGTCGCTTTCAGGCGCAAGAAGAGGCGAGCGAAGTTCAAACGGAGGAGGAGGAGGAGGAGGAGGAGGAAGCGAATCCTAGTCGAGGCAGGTTGAGCGTGACCGAGTCCCTGTTGACCCACGTGGATCATCGTTCGTCCGGGGACGAGAGCGGAACCACGAGTCCAACGATAAAGCAGGAGGAGGAGGAGGAGGAGGAGGCGAGTCCACCGGAGGAGCATTACCTGCCCATGTCGCCTAGGAAGGCTATACTGGACCCGAACGACGAGAACAGGCCGAATCCGAAGATGATGGAGAGCCTGTTCGCCAATCTGGAGCACGAGGAGAGCTCGTACGTGGAGATGGCGCAGAACGGCCGTTCCTTCTCGCCCCCTCGGGTGGCAGGCACGACTCGGGCGATTACTCCACCCTGGACAACACCCCCCACTACGAGTTCGTCTGCGTGTCCGACAGCAAGATGGAGCCGGTGTACATGGAGGTGAGCCAGTTGTCGGAGAAGGAGGAGGAGGAGGATGAGGAGGAGGAGGAGGAGGTGGTGGAGGAGAATAACAACGGCAAGGAAAATGGCAAAGGGAAGAGGAGATCGCACGAGGACGCGAGGACCGATCTGCCCGATATCCTGACGGCGTTGAAATCGGACAGCTCGGACGCGGACGACGAGTCGTCCAAGGATCTCGACTCGATCGACGCCCCCCGCCACCCGAGGTTCAGCTTGTCCGACACGTTCAGGCCCGCCTCGTATTATCTGGGCGCCAGTCGAGCCATGATCGCCGAGTTGCACGATTCCTCCGACAGCGAGCTCGTCTCCCCGCCCCCGATCCCAACCTCCCCCCCACCCTTGGACGACCTGGACTCGTTGGACATGCAGGAGTCGTCCTCCCTCGAGGTAAAGAAAGTGTCGCCCCAGGTGGCGGTGGCGAGGGAGCAGATCTGGGCCAGGAAGCAACAACCGATGATGGGGGGCCAGGCCGAGGGGCACAGGCCGCCCTCGAGGCCGTTCTCGGACGCCACCATTCTCGGCTCCCCGTTCAGGGACAGCCGGATCTCTCTGGAGAGCAGCGATTCGGTGGAGGCGAGGACGGCCGAGGAGGAGGCGAGGCACAGACAATTGAAGACGAGGCCGGTGAGCGAGGTGTGCGAGGTGTTGGACAGTTTGGACGAGTTGGAGTCGCTGGGCAGCCGCTTCGACGGGGCGAGTATCGACCTGGATCGGTATCTGGAGGAGTTGCAGGCGCGGGATGCCTTCAACGTCGACCTCTACGCCAAGGAGCCGAGTTACAACAACATTTACGGGTTCAACGAGAGCCGTGCGATGGACAAAGCGCGGAGGCAGGCTGCGATCTGCCACGATCCGTCGAACGTGAGACGAACGTCGAACAGGGAGGCTGGGGTGATGGTGGTTGGGGCTGCTGGTTTCGACGATCTCGAGTCACGGGGGTACGGGGGGCGGTGAACAAGATGGGATCGGCCAGCAGTTTGCCCTCGATGAGGGTCAGCGACGCTGCTCCCCCGTCCCACCAGCACTCGCAGTCCTTCACGGGGGACGCTCATTACGAGAACGTGTCGAGCTTCTCCCCCCTTCGATCGTCGGAGAACGAGCAGAGCAATGGGCACGGAAGAAGGGGGTCTCAGGGCAATCTGTTGATCCCGTCGCACAGCAGGGACTCGAGCTACTCGCTGGGAGCCGCCTCGATCTCGACCTCCATGGCTTGTCAGAGGCCTGCCAGCGCCCAATCCTCGTCCATCCACTCTCCCACGGGCTCGAATTTGGTCGGCAATGCGACGACCAACCTGGCCGCCAACAACTGTGCCACGAGCCCCCCTCCCTATCCGCCCGATCAACGGTTCCAAAATCATCACCACTCGAGGTCGGCCAGCCAGGATTCCGCCCGATACTCGAACCGCAGATCCTCGTCCAGCCAGGATTCCCACTATCCAACCCCGAACTCGGTCAAACCCCCCCAATCGTATCTGCCGAGCGAGCCTCGCCCCCAGAGCCAGCAATCGAGCGCCCCCTATTACTATTCGGATCTTCGAGCGAGCGCGAATACGAGCGTGGACACGGCCGAGGCCGCGAGGGAGAAACCACCGATCGGCCACACGTCCAGGCTGCCTCAGTTGAACAATCAGAGGGACGACGCCTCGGCTATGAACAAGAGGAACGACATAGGGCGTATAGTGAATCCCATCTCGAGGCAGGTGGTGGCCAGACAGATCCAGGTGGACGACATCGACGAGGCGAGGCGGATAGCGGCCGAGCTGAGAAAGACGACTTGCCAGCTGTTGGGCGACAACAAGGCGGACCTCGTGGACAAGAAGAACTTTTACGAGTCGGACACGCTGAGGAGGGTGAAGTCGACGGATCCTTTGCCGGACGTCTCCGAGATCAACGCCAGGAACCTGTACCCGCACGGGCTGCGCGACAAATCGAACGGCCGCTCGACGACGAGTCGGGGAGACGCGTTCGACGCGTCGCAGGCGTCGCACAGGAGGTCGAGATCGTTGGAGGGTCTGTTGGACGACGTCGGCCTTCAGAATCTGGTCGAGCAGCGGAACAGGAGCAACCAGCGCGTGGCCGCCGTTCAACCGACTCGGACTGAGCAACAAGCTTCCTCTAGTAGCAACAACGACGACGACACCAGCGCCGCCACGGCCAACGCCACCTCTTCTATGCCGGGAACGAACAACGACTTCGAAGCGGACGATCCTTGGGAACAGGATCTCCTGTGGAGGGAGAGCCTTCGAAGAGTGAGTTTACGGAACGCCAGGTCCTTGGACAACCTGGACAACCAACCTCCTAGACAACAACAACAATCCGCCAATTCGGACGCGAAGGGAGCTAGGAACAAGATCACCCGTGGCGCCACCTACGTGAACGACAGCGTGATTCTGTCGAGGAGGGAGAACTCGTGCCCCGAGGACAGAGGAGGGCCTCGAGTGAAACGGAGGGGCAACAAGAAGGAGGGGGATGAGGCGGAGGAGGAGGTGGTCGACGACCTGACCTACGAGAGCCTGTCGATGGAGCGGATTCACGCGGGGGGGTACGTGTGGGACGCGCAGAACGAGGCCTATCGGAAGGCGAGCACGAGCATCACGGCTAACGCAACCACCGCCACAACCACCACCGCGATCACCGAGGATCATTTTTTAGAGGAAGGCAACCTTCCCTCGATTCGCTCGATCTCGACGACGCAGCACCACCAGGTGGTGCCGTCAGGCCCCGCGGCGTTCGAGCTCGATCGGGAGAAGCTGCGACAGTGGGACCTGTTGTCGAGCGCCTGCTTACTCCAGGAACAGCAACAACAACAGCAGCAGCAGTGCAGCTCGATGGCGGACTCGGGGCGAGGGTTGCCAATCGTGGAACGGCCTGGAGGCGTTCTCGACGTGTCGAGGAACAGTGGCGCCAACGTGGCGTTGTCGTTGACCAATCACGATCGAGATGTCGTTCTGAAGGCGCTCGAGGGCAAGGGTATGCAGAGCACGATTACGACGAGCGTGACGGGCGACAGGCAACAGGTGAACGAGACCAAGGAGGCTTGTAACAGGGCTGCAGGTGAGTGGCTCCTCAAGACGTCCGGTGGTGTGTTCAGGAAGTGACTGACTGACGGCCGTGTTCCAAACCCTCGACTGGCTCTCGCTCGCTGACCATACCTGTCTTCTTCCGTCTCGTCGAAATGCTCGGCCCCCGACCATGGTCGTTCGTATCTGTGTATCAAATGTACCTGCGTTCTTTTTTCTTTCTTTCTTTCTTTCTTTCTTTTTCTCACGAGGTGGCCTTGTACAGCGTTAGTCGCCACATCCCGTTTTTTGAATAAATTCGCACTCTTATTTCGGGATTCTCCGAAAAGAAATCCGAAATAACGAACAATCGGTTCAATCCTGTCCACGATCGACAAAGGTAGATCGTTGATCGCTTTCGAGTGCTGTTTTGGAAATGTGATTTCCAGAGCACACGAGCGTTGCGATTCATTTCGTCGGAGACACCGATAATTCGATCCCTTTCGATTCTTGAGCGCGATCCAATCGCATCCAAGAATCTTTTTTTTTTTTCTCTCTCTCTCTCTCTGTAAAATGATCACGATCGTATACAGGGTGTCGTTTTCGTTTTTTTTTTTTTTTTTTTATTGATTTTCAAGGTCATTTCAAAATCTTCACTTCTTCTTTATCTCTCTTCTTCTTTAATTATTATTATTATTATTATTATTATTATTAAGAGGATGATCTTGGTTAACCTTGAAAATCGAACAGGAAATTTTAGGAAATAATAGGCCAAGTATTTATATATATATCACTCTCTCTCTCTC